TGAAAGCTGGTTGGGCTGGCATCGAGACACATTTGATTTGCTCCCTCTTGAGATGGACTCGCCCTGTAATTCGAATGCCCGAGACCCATCTATGGCTAGGTCTACACTACAGCGGGGGTCCGACCTAAGATACGCAACTTCAGCTACGTGAATACCGTAGCTGAAGTTGCGTATTTTAGGTCGGCTTACCTGGCGGTGAGGACGGGGGAAAGCCGACCGCTGCCGCGCTGCCGCCGACTCCGCTGCCGCCTCTTGCCGAGGTGGATTTCCGGAGTCGACGGCAGAGCGATCAGGGATCGATTTTACCGCGTCTTCACTAGACGCGGTAAGTCGATCCCCGATAGACCGATTGCTACCCGCCGGATCGGCGGGTAGTGAAGACATACCCTATGAAAACAAAGTCTTATATTCTGAATTAAGCTAAAGCAACTGTACGTGTGGAGGGCAGATGAAACGCTTCAAAGACACCTTGAAACAAAACCTGCCCCAAATGAACATTTCTGATTCGACCTTTGAGCAGCTGGTGCTGGATCGTTTTGCATGGCGTTACGCTGTAAGGGTGCGAGCCCACGGCTTTGAGAAGAATTGCATGGAGCAGCTGGAAGCCCAGAGCCAGCCACGGAAACAACATGCAGATCAATTAAAACAACTAGGCAAATGGCTCTGTGACCATCATCTTCTTTGATATCCTCTAGGATGGCACTGAAATCCTCCTGCATCTTTAAAAATACCCAGGAAACAGGTAATACATTATTCAGTTCGAAGGGGGAAGAATCCGCTTCTAATTAGTTTTTCACAATACTTAACTCAGGGCTTGTCTATACAGATGGTTAGTGCACAGTAAGCTGGCGTGTAAATCTACAGCGCTCTAGCCTGCCATGCACTAATTGGCGGAGTGGACCCTGTTACTATTCACTAACAGCGCTATAGTTGCACTTTCATCTACTCTCATTTCACGAAAGAGGTAGGAAATGTCTGAATTAAGGTTCATGACATAACCTTAACTCTGCCCCCTTGTGTGGCTTCATTAGGAGACAATCTTTAATTACACGGTCACATAATACTTTCTCCTGCTTCATTCAGTGTACTCTACTTTACCAACCATAAGTGTTATTAAGTTCTCACTCACCTTCCCCTGGGGGCAATTTCTGGACAGCCCTCACCTCCTTCATAAATTCGCCCAAATTCACCTTCCCGTCCGCTGCAAGGTAAAGCACAGCTCAGAGTCAATGGAAATGACAAACAGACACTAGGAAAAGAGGCAGAAGGGAATGGACATCACT